GTAAAAAAAAAAACCCAAAAACAACACACACACAAAAAAAAACAACCAACCAACCAAGGAAACAAACAAAAAAACAAACAAAACCACGAACTTTCTGATGTTCAAATTATTTCAGTTTGTGCCTGTTGCCTCTTGTCCTTACACTGGATACCACTGAAAAGAATCTGGCTGCATTTTCTCTACAGACACCATATCAGCTTTTCATATTTAAAAATTCCCTCTGATCTTTCTCTTCCCCAGGGTAAATAACCTCTGTGCTGTCTCTCCTATGTCAGATGCTGCAATCTGTTTGTCATTTTTGTGACCCTTCACTGGACTGGCTCCAGTATGCTCATGTCTCATCCATACTCAGGGCCCAGCACTTGACCCAGCACTCCAAATGTGGCCTCACCAGGGCTGAGTAGAGGCCAAGTATCACCTCCTTTGACCTACTGGCCACACTCTTCTTTATGCAGCCACAGACATTGTTGGCTGCCTTTGCTGGAAAGCACATTGCTGGCTCATGTTCAACTTGTCCACTGAGACACACAGGTCTGCTATTTGACATCTAGTTGCATATTAATGGCTACTTCCAGCTGTAGTTTTCTTCAGCTTCCTGGATTTAATGGCTTGAGCTTCTTTCTAATAAATGGATGAACATGCCTGATCTGTTGAATAGCATGGACAGTTTCTGCGTCAATGCCATCTAATTATCCAGTAGCCCTGAGAGGTCTCATAAGGCCTCCAGTTTATCAGACTGGATGTATACTTAACTGCCTAGAGCAAACAAAAGCAGCAAGTTACTTCTTTCAGTTAAACCAGGGTGATACCAAACCTCTTGCTATGCCATAAGCTTTAACAGCATCCTAACAACTGCAGAACAACTTAAATTGAAGGAGGAGCTGCTTTTCCTAGTAATCTGGCTGTAGACCAAACAATGACATGTTTTCTGCATAGGCGTTTGGACCATCTCTCAGGTCTACATTTCTTAGCCCTACTACAGAAAGGAAAGCTCACCCTTTCCCTAGTAATGGAGTGAAATCCTACAAAACCGCAATTGCATTCTCCAGAGAGCAACAAAAATGGGCACAGTGGGTTAATACTCCAAAACCAGGAAATATCCCTAACCAATGCTCTATGTCATCACATAACCTAGATTTCTGTCAAGAATTTGGGTGTTGTTTTGGATAACAAAAGACAATATGTGTTCATCATTAATCTTCTTGAACATTTGTTTAGCCAGAAACTGTCTTTGATCAACCCTTCATGTAAATAGGTTTATGCTTCAGACAGAAGTGGTAAGATGTTATTCCAAGTACTTGCATTATATGGAATCTCCCCTTAACTCTAACAAGATAAGTTTAATGACAGGCTCAGTATTGGTGGCTGTACTCCAAAGACATTTATGTTCAGTTTAAATTTCAAAATTAAATAAAAATTTATCTTGAATCAAAGAGGAAAAATATTACCTCTAAAAATCTGCCATTTGCTCCTACTCTATTTGAGGTTTCAGCATCAAACACTTTTCCATCTGGCTAGCAAAGAACTGAAAAGTTTTTCTTCTTTCATTACCAAATGACAGATGCTGCACTCATTGCAGCTGAACACCCTGAAAAGGTTTCCATTTATCATTTAATTTTTTACAGGTATAGAATCATAAACAGCAATGAAAGAAAAACAAAAAGAGAAAAATAAGATTCTTTTATTTAAGGAAAATAAATGCCGCACTGTATTTTCTCAGCTACTTCTGGCCACAATTAGTACATTTCATTTATGTTTGAACATGCAGTCACATAAACTATAAAAAAATTTATGTGCAGAATATCGGTGGAATAAGTTAAAACATGCAGTTTCCTACTCCTTCTCCCAATAGGTGATCTCTTCATGCCTTTTTGTTTCAGAACAAAACAAGAACAAGCAAACACTTTCAGTCCTGCCAGTCCAGGGGCAGTGCGTGAGTGGGGAGCAAGACTCTCTCAGAGTTATCACTGCAGCTACTTACTGGCTGTGAATCTTACCCAAAGTTCTTTGTCTCCATTTTCTCATGTGTAAAATGTAAAATACAGCTAAGAACTAGCCAACAGCCCTATACTTACTCACTGCTGGGGAAGTTAGTTTTTCACAATCAAAAAGACTTAATGCTTTGTTTGCTTGAAGGTTAATCCAAGGCTTTAAACTGCCTGATAGAATCAGACAGATGCAAGGAGCCTCAAGTTTGCAATAAACACAGCCATTAGAAATATTTATCATTGAGTTAGAGCATTGAAGATTAATCTCAACTGTGCCAATTCCAGAGCACAGTATCTTAATTGCATTACATAGAACCATAGAATAGAATCATTTTGGACATTGTCCTGAAATGCTTCTGGAGATTGTTAGAGATATGAAATGTTTAGATATGGTTTGGGGGTTGATTTTTGTTTGGTTGGGTTTTTTTTAATCTGGCTTTCAGTTTACCCATGACAATTGTTTTAAGAATTTCTTACAAAGTCCTACATTCGGTAGCTGGGAAAATGGTACAGAAAAGGCTGTTGATAGACATACAGAGTAATAAGAAAAGGACAGAAGCTAGAAGGAACAGAGTAAGGGAAAAACATGCAACTGCGCTGACTCTTAATATTTCAAATGTCTGGAAAGGTGAGAAAAAAATACAGCTTCTTTTATAGGTGGAAAGAGAATTTGATAGCTTTAGAAAGACGACAGCTGCTATAAATGGCATGGCAGGTGCTGCTGCTTCTTCTCTCTCCTCTTGGCAGAAATGTTCCCCTCAGCAAACATGCTGCCATTCAGCTGTATTTTAATGGGTTTAATGCATTTTAAAGCCAGACCTGCAGAGATTGCAGCCAGAGAATCAGAAATGCTGACAAACAAAATGAGCTAAAGTCAAGCATCCACTTCCAACTCCAAAACCCCTTTTCCATTTGGACTTAAGTCCTGGTATACTGAACTGAACAGTTATAAGTCCTTTTCTCTGCCAAGTGCTATTCTGCAGCCACTTCATTTATGCAGTTTGCTCTGCCACACTGCTGTCATGACAAAGTTTCATTTAGAGATATTATCCTATTAGTATCTACAAGTGATTGAAATCCATAGAAGTCTATATTGCTTGTCTGGAGTTGTTGGAAATTAGAAAAATCTAACATGTTACATAAACTTGTTTTGAAAGCCAAAAGAAATTAGAAGCAGATAGGTTGGCTGATATAAAACAGGTTAAAACAGTTGTGACAGTGAGTATTTACATCTATTGAAGTCATGCAATGATTAGAACAAAAAAACAATGGAAGGAAATGTTTGTAGCTGGAGCCACCGAATGTGTCTTAGGTAATGTTCATGGAATGTAGTTGTTAGCTTTCATGTTGTTTTTCACATGAACAAAGGGTCACTGAACAGGGGCAGAGGAAAACTGACTGGGAAAAGCTAATGTCATCATTCTAGTGTATCTCAAAGGGATCTGTCATTATACTAACATGCTTCCAATAGAAGCCTGCTCTGGTGCTATACCTGAATTTTGGCTGAATATACTCAGTGAGAAAAACTCACCTGGGAGCCCTCATTTCTTGAGTCACACTCTGGAGCATATTCACTAACTTAATATTTAACAGCTTTGGGGAGAAGAATGCCAAACGTACCAGCAAGTACGTTGTTGAACAATTTTTTTCTAAAATAGAGCTAAGAATCCGGATAGCTTCAAGGCTCCTTTTTAGGATCTGAAAGCTCAGTCTTCCAGGATTCGGTATTTCTAGACTTCAAATATGTGTAGAAGTTTAAGAAGGCAAACAGAGCCAAATACCTCCAAGTCTGCAGTCAAGATAATTTTGTTTTGCTACTGTCAAAATGTAACATTTAGATTCTGGGGGGGGGTTTATACTTTCTTTTCCAAAACCAACTTCAGGTTTCCTTCTGAGGTGGTATTATTTCATTTCTCCTCTTCATTCCATCATTCTCCAATTTCCATCCTAAACAAAATCATGACTGCGAAAAGCTCAACAGTTCAGCAACATCTGAAGAGTGGAATTGTCACAGAAGGTCCAGTAAACTGATGTTGTAGAAATGGGATGGAAGAATCTGGATTACTTGGAAATAGGAACTTGACCATGAAAAAACTTCTCTATAATGGAAGGAGAAGTAAGCTGGGCAATGGCCAGTTACTTTAAATATTCTTGTTTCTTTCTTAAGTATAGGTTTGGGTTTTTTTCATTGGCTGCTCTTTAATGGACAGAATTTAATCTACCATGATTTTCATAGCAAGCCTACATCTGGAAGACTGTGTAAGTTCCAGTTGGTCTGGATGTTACTGTTTCAATGAGTGGGTATCTATAACATATTTGTTAAATTTCTGTTAGTTTCAGTGTAGTTTATGAGGGAACCAAAGGAGTTATATAATTTTAGAAGGGATGGGGTAGAATATTTACTTAAAATAGTACTGAGTGTCCTGCAAAAAACTGATGTGCTGTCAAATACAGACCAACCAGACTGGACCTGAAACTGTTTACAAACAATTGTGACTAAGGTGGAGGTTTGAAGTGGTCAGTGCTCAAAGTGGTCAGTGCTCAAAGCGGTCTTGGTATGGAGGACATAGTGTGGGAAAGTAATTAGTTTTCTCTTCTGTAATGGATGTTATATGAATTTATTTCACAATTATTCTGTACACAGTATTGATAGTAAAAATATAAAAAAGCTTGATACTATATTTCTAAGGACCTAAACCACTGGCCATTTCTGAGTTTCTTTTGAGTACTCAAGCTGCCTGAAATCTGACTGCATCCAGCTTTTTCAAATGGGCCTGTCTCTCCAATGAGCCTCTCTCTCAGTGATCCAAACCAAGATCCTGATTCCAGCTGCCCCTGATTTAAGGACATTTCCATGTCAATAACTGAATTTTGCTGCATGATCTTGCCCACAGAGGCACAGCCATGTCTGTCTACTGCTCATAGTAGGCACTTCAGTTTCCAGGAGCTGTGCCTGTGCTCAGAGGGAGCAGCAGCCAGACTGTTCCCAAACTGTGTTCAGGGTCACACTGAGGAAACACCTTCTTGGAAGCTGCCTGCCTCTTTGTTCTTTCCATCAGTCTAAAATAAATATCACTGAAAATGTCTCATTCCTCTTTGTGTATACAAAGATCATGGGAGCACTTACAAGTCACCCTCTTTCAGATACCACGTACAAAACCAGAGGAAATAACAATGTTTGGGTCTTTCAAGAAAACCAAAAATGTCCATATTTCTTTGGCAGACATTCTTATTTTGTTTTTCCAGGCTGAAAAGCATGGAAGTACCCTTTCCACCTCTTTCCACTTCCCTGTCACTTACAAATTCAAGGCTGATGATGTTTGAACTCACATAAAATTTGGAAGTGAGTGGAAAAACACACCCAGCTGACCAAAAGGGAAATTGCATCCTCTACTTGCTACTGTCCTCCTCCCTATGTTTACCTTCTTTCTGCAGGTCAAGTGACTCACTACATTCTTTTGCCATTTACTTACCTTCTGTTTTCCCTGTGTGCACAGCAGATCTCTGATGTTCATGGGACTGTTCCAGGTTCAATAACATTTCATTTTCTGGTGGTTATAAGGTTCCTCAAACTCCAGTCAAGATCTGGAGCCAGAAGGAAGGGGGGGGAAGTTTGCATAAAATCAAAGCTCTGCCACAGCCAAGTGACCCATCGAGCTCATTAATAAAGTTCTCAATCATAAAGTGTGATTTTCTATGTGGGAAAAGTCAGCTTAACTGACTATAAATTGTTGCTGAAATTTTAGCTGGAATTATGCACACAGTCCTGGCTGGCGTAAGCAGAAAATATTTGCGCAGACATCCATTGTCCTGACCCACAGACAGAGTTCAAACAAACACTGATGGGAAAATGAAATTAGGAGAACAGGATATTGTCCTTCATTCTCTGCATTCAGGCTACTCAGATGGCAGAATATGAAATTTATATGGCACTTTTTTTTTTGGTCATAAACAAGGTCAAAATGATTCCAAGGTTGGATCTGAACAGGTTTCATACATGAATGTTTAATATTCATAACATTTGCCAGAAGGACAACCCTGAATGTCGAAACTTTGCATTCATCTACAAAACAAGGAAAGCAACGGAGGTGAACAATGGAAGCTTACGAGGATACCCTATTAACATGCTTCATGTGCTCCTCTGTGTTGTGCTATGGTGATACAGAAAACAGCTGAAGTGTTTACTTTCACTAATAGTATGGATGATTCTATTTTTCTCTTTAAATTTTTTTTATCTGCATCAGCCTCCATGTAGGAAGTTAAATCTGGTATGGCAAAACAATTTAGAACTATAAAAAAAGTTTTTGGCTTAGTTGGGTGTTGTCGTTTAAGCCCAGCCACACAGCCACTCTCTCACTCCCCCCCCCCTTTCTCTCCCGGCTCCCGGAGGGATGAGGAGGAGAATTGAAAGAATGTAACTCCACGGGTTGAGATAAGACCAGTCCAGTAACTAAGGTATAACACAAATCACTGCTGCTGCCACCAATAATAATAAAGATAAGGGAAATAACAAGGGAAGAGAATACAACCACTCACCACCCACCAACAGATACCCAGCCCGACCAAGCAGTGATCTAACCCTTCCAAGTAACTGCCCCCAGTTTATATAGTGTGCATGATGTGCTGTGGTATGGAATACCTCTTTGGTTAGTGTGGATCAGGCGTCCTGTCTCTGCTTCCTCCTGCCTTCTACTCCTCCCTGGCAGAGCATGAGACTCAGAAAGTCCTTGGTCAGAGCAAACATTACTGAGCAGCAACTAAAATCATCACTGTTATCAGTGCTGTTGCCAGGCTGAAAGTCAAACCTACAGCACTGCACCAGCTACTAAGAAGGAGAAAAAATGACTGCTCCTGCTGAACTCAGGACATTGGACAAATGGAAAAGTTAGGGAGAAAAATTTATTTTGGAAAACTTGACATGGAAAATAAAATTAAGAATGAGGGTTAATGTTTGTTTTGTCCCAGCTAGCATTATTTCATTTAGTGGTTGGTTTAAAAACATTTTTAGCATTATAAATATATGTAGATTTCAAATTTAAAAGAAAGAATATAAATATTTCTTTTTAAATGTTCAAATGAAACATGCATGAATAGGATGAAACATTGGCAATGCTATATACCAGCCTTACAAACAGCTCAAACCTGTGATTTCTTGCTTGCTTTCTTTTCTTTACAGCAAATAATTCTATCCAGTCTCAAAAATAATCTATAAAGGGATCACAAAAGTATAACCTTATCCTTCAACAGATCCCTGTTAGCACCTGTCCCTCTCAGAAGGCATAAATACATTCCAAAGTCCAGTCCCTATCCTATCCCAACAGAACTGGCAGCAGTACATTTCTTCAAATCCTCTTTTCCATCCATGCTTTCTTGATGTCAGTCTTCATCTTAGTTTCATAGAAACCCATGTTGATCCTGGACCAATTACTGAAGACCTAAAGCAAATTCCAATTTAAAATCTTGTCCAGAGTCTTATTCATTCCTCAGTTTCTGTCACATACGACATACCTGCTCTGCACAATAGAAAAGATCAACAGTGAAATGGGAATTATTGGTCTCTCAGAACCCAGCAGCAGAAAAAGCTTTTCAGACTTTGTTTACCTAAAACATAGCAGCAATCATTGCTCTCCTCTCAGTAAAAACCTTCCTCGCCCATGTAGAAAACATGCAACTTTCCTAACAGTAGCTTTCATCCTGCCCTTCATAACTGATAGCTGACATCTGCAGCCCCTGCTTTCCTGAACTGCAATTTTAACATTAAGTCTAAATTTCTTCATAAATTCCAAAAATTTCATCTCCTGTCTTGAACAACTCTAAGCCTCAGTGCCCTGCAAGAAACCACACTAATATTTGTGTTTTGCTGCACAGATTCATAGATCCAAATTCAGTTCTGTTGGTCACCATGTCCAAAACCCGTTCAACTTTCCTGCCAGGCAATTGATTGTCCATTACTCACAGGTAGGACCAGCCTCAACCTGTTAGGATCCTGCAAGAAACTGAGTATCTAAATTCAGCTTTTTTTGCATTAAACCTAAACACAACTTTAGCCAATAAACAAAACCCCACCAGCTAGGACACCCAAAAATTAAGTCTGGAGAGAAACACACAGCTCACTACAAATAATAACCCACATGCTATTACATGGGACTTAGTAGGTTCACCTATCACCTTGCTTTTCTAGTCTCCCCTTTCTTAGACTGTAACATAAGCTTTAATGATAAGGATGTTTTCTAAATATAATATGGATTTGTACTAAAGAGTTCATACTACAATGACTTGCTTCTCTGACACCAAAGTTTGATCTTCTTCCTTAGCTTCTTCAGGAACTAGTATAAAACCAAGACCTTAACCATCTTTTACCAGACCTGTGATCCTAAGGCACACTAACCATTAACATTCTAACATCCTTAGCCTAGTTACTGTTTTCTGTCACAGGATGAGTTATACATTATTTATTGCTAAGAGAACTATTCCTGAAACCAGAATGTGAGGCTTGATGGGATCTGCCAACAGGCAGCTCTACTTTCCAAACAGAAACCAGATATCCAGATATGGCCTTCACTTGCAGATAATCTTACTCATCCTGCCCTAAACCAATACTATCTAGCTGTTGTTGACTCTTCAAGTAACAACCAACTTCATACTCATCCCTTCTCAGATTGATGGAATTCAACACTCAGTTTAGCTCTCTATGCTTTCTTGCACAGAGAAAAGGAGCTCTACCCTTAGGATAGGCTTCTGGACAGACTAATAATGGCCACAGACTTCCGAATTAATGCTAATCTAAGTAGCTTTCTATCATCAGCCCTGTCTGTGTCTCTAAATTCTGTAAGACCTACCAATAAATTCAGGTCTTTGTCCTCTTCTACCCGAAATTCTGTCTGCGTAACTGCCCAATGCTTTATCTGTAGTTCTCTCACACCTTAATCATTGACAGTTCATTGCTGGAAAATCACCCCTAAATTAAAAGACTGGTAGCAATAAATTTTTGTTTACTTAAAGCCTGATACTTCACCCAACCCTAATCTTAATAATATCATAATAATAATACTACCCATCCTCTTTTCAGTGCTATAGTATACAGACTACACTCTTCCTTGCCAACCTCAGCCCCCCCAATGGACAGGATTCCTTAATACTCCCTGTTCTCTGTCCTTTCTTGCTCCCTAGCTCCAACCATTTGTTTCATTACAGACTTATCAATTCTTGTGACAAAGCCAATCGTCTTTTCAGACACTATGACAATCTCCAGGACCCCACATTACAGGCAGATCTCCCACCTCTGCCCTCCAGAATCCTAATCCTAACCACAACCGATACAGTCAACTTCATTATAGTTAGTCACTCCCATTGCCTCTAGGATGCATTATCAGATATTCACCCCTGGAATAAAGCATCTGAAATATGGGCAATCATGATACAATTCTACAGATTGCTTTCCTAAGTCCAGACCATGCATCCAACCTCCATACTGCCTTTAATAATAATACTCTTACCACCAGTTCCCATCACAACTAGCCATAAGGCATAAGTCTGACATCACCAACCCTCATCCTAGACCCGCCACATGGACAAGATCCTGCAGTAAAAGTATTTCTCTGGCTTTTCCTTCCCCAAACTTTAATTGGAGCTACACAGCTCATTCCTCCACTCCAGAGCATCAACCCTAATCCCAGTCATAAATGTAACCTTAACAGTTGCTTCTCTCTACCACAGAACTAATCACCTGGAGACTAATCATCTCTCCACTGCTAGGTGGACAGTGCCTGAAATTAGGTTTAGAGGACAAAATGCCAATACAAGAAAATTATTCCAGTGATATGTTTCTTTTTTTTTCCCTTTTTTTTTAAAAAAAAAATCTTTGCTTGAAAACACATTTTTAAAGGTATCTATTGTCAGTTTTAACTGTGTTTTTGCTTGGAGCAATGAGCTTTTGTTTTAGGGTAGCTTGCCAGCACTTTAACAAACTCTAGGCTAACAGACAACCTTTATTTTTTGGTTTACTAGAGAAAGGGAAAAATGTAAAGGCTTCTTCAATATAAGGAATGCTATGCAAGGGCAAATACACAATCTCCACTAAGTGTACAAATGCTTTTCCAGATGTAAGCTGTATAGTGCTTTGTAGGATGGGACTTCTATCTTTATCTTTCCTTACACTTACATGTGTTGGAAGATACTTTAATGTATTCCAAAAGCGTTGAATAAATTGATTGTTTAGGGATTTACAGAAAAAGATATAAGAAATTATTGGCCACTTGGCTACAAAAATCAAAAGTACTAATGCTCTTACCTTTGCCTGTCAGCTAGTTCAGCCATGGCTCTGTAAGACAAAAATTCAGTTATTATTTTACCCAATATAAAATTCTGAGTGTTGTATTTATCATCCTCATTTTAAGAAAGACTGAATCTCTAGGATATGAAACTATTAAGGGTGT